AAAGAAAGTTTAATGCATTGACGCATAAAAGAGCGAATTAATTGAGTGATCATTGAGTTTGAATTGTTCGAATGGAAGGAACCACGTGACAAAATGTCGTTTGTCATGACATTAGATAATAATTTTGCAGAGAATGAGAAAAAAGTTGTTCAATCGGCATAAATTACTTTGATTTTGCTACAAATAACATTATTGAAGAGAACGCAAAAATCATTTGATATACATTTTTTTTTTATTTGTATGACAAAATGCGATTTTGATTGAGATTGCCATTGTGAATGAGTTATGTTGTCGAACGCTTAAATTGCTCAATTATTATTTGTTTGAAAATGAAGCAAAAAAAGAAATAGTCAGTGAGTTTTAAAAACAACATGCAATTTGATGAATTTTGAGGGGCGGCATGTTTATTATTTTTTTGTTTGTCGCACTTCATTGACAGATGATTATTAGTTGTTTCTTTATCACTTGAAATATCACTGTCAATTGCGTATCCCGTCCGATTGATGCAGAATGTGTATCGTCGACTTGTCACACGTCTCGCGGCCCATACACACACACAAATTCGAATCAATTTGTATATGCGCACTATTTAAATCGAAATACATTTTAGGAGCAATTAATTGTACTATTCGATTGCGTCATTCATCACGTGCTTTTCATTTATAAGATTCATATTATAGGCGACTCTATACCCTTTCCTGTATGATACACATTTGCTACTGTTTCATATTTCACTTAACGATTTTTTAATATATCTCTTAATTGGTGATTATTTGTGTTGTGTTTTTATTTTTGCGTCTTCGTGTTCTCATTGTGTCTTGATTGTGGTTTGAAATCAATGAATCGTCAAAGTGTATATGGACTGTCGATAACCACAATTACGATAGATTGTTCTTTTACTCTTCTAAAGCATCGTGTTTCGACAACGTTGTTTTTGAACAATTTCGATGGCGGTATGGGAGATTGAAACGAAGATATAAGACTGTAACTTAGTTAATTACATGAGTCCGACGCGATTCCGTGAGATAGGCACGTCTCGAATAGCTATGATATCAATGAGCAACCGAATCAATGCTATCAATGATAAAATATCTAACATCGAAGTTTCCAATTTATGAATACTCATGATGTTGATTTTCCACTTACACATACATTCGACTCGATATTTATTTTTCTTCTCCCTGTCTGTTGTGAGCGTACACAACAATCTCAAATATCTTGCTAATTAAAAAGTCATTGAACACTTAAGGGCAACATCATAGGTTCTCACAACCATTTTTTTTCTCGTTTCAAATTTATAAACGAAATTGGAAATACATTAAAGGGTTTCCATCAAATACATTATCAAACTTCCCTGTGTGAAATACCTATATAAGTGTGATGTGATTTATTGAATTCGCATGGATCGATGACAATTCGCAAATTATATTTTACCTTCAACTCTCATTCGTGTAAGTATTTATAAATGAAAATTCAACATCAAATCAATTTACATTTTTCAAGTTCAATACAGTTTGAGCGAAATAAATTTATTTCACATCTTTGACGGTCCCACAATTCTACTATATACAGTTTTTACTAACGACGACAGGTTGATATATATACACCCCAGAATGAATTTAGAATAGAAAGTGTGCTACTCAGCTGCAAATACCTTCAAAAGTGGCCTAAGAATCGGGCAAATGTTTTCAGACACAAACAATACCTCGACGTGTTGAAGGCACGACCATGACCGTGACTAAAAAAATCGATATTTTTACACAGAGCCCTGACAATGCACAATTTACTGTACTAGTTTGTCGATAGACTAGTATTTTTCTCTCTCTCTCTTTGGACGGTGATAAATGCAGTTGAACTCGACTCTGTGTTAAACTATTACATTATTCATTTTTCATTATTAATTATCGATTTTTTTTTGTATGCGCTTTTGTTCACGTTCGTATCGGATATAGATTGGTGAACTATTTCAATTTATTTTCAACGTTTTCATATGCACAAATTATTTAAATATTGTTATCGTGCAAGTGCAATGTATTTTTGGATTAACGTAAAATGTGAATACTGATGACACATTTTCAATATGTATAATGCATTCGTAATCGCATTCACATTCGACACACATCACAGTTTATCACCAGTTAGGTGTGCACCTACTTCAAATACAAATTATCCCCATGTGACCTCTTCTTGACAATTTCATTCGATTCACCTATCGAGCTCGATATATTTCCTATCGCATTCAAAATATTCCATATTTTGTATTTCAGATAGCCAATGGTTAGATAAGAGGTAAACAAGCGATATGGTTAAAATAGTTCCATTCGTTTTTATCCAAATATTAAGGAATATTACTAATAGCCTAACGAGCTATTATATGGATTCCATTAATATTGAAACTATCAATGGTTCGATCTTTTGAAATTACTTTGTTTACTTGTTTTGTAAAAATGCATCTAATAAACAACATACGGGTATACTTAAAATAGATAATCTTGCATTATGGATAGGAAATTCATTGTTTACGTGGCACATCTGATATTTATCGAACAATTGTTGGAAAATTTCCCATTTTTTTATCAAGTTATGGTGCTTGCTCAACAAACATGAGAATTCGATAAAAAAATTTTTCGTTGTAGACAATGAACGTAGAGAAAAAATCAATATTTAGTGAATTAAATGGCCAATGTCACCCCGAAAATTCACATAAATCGCCATGATATGACAAAATATTTTACACACGTTAAATCCAAATACCATTATTATGATGGGAAATTTGACAACGATGTCTATTTACTTCTCTCGTGATGTCCTTTTTGAATCGGGATCAAATGAATTTTGGCAGGTTCATCGATAATAATAATATTTATCCGTTTACGGGCAAATCCTTCGATAATTTCGTGATGTCACTCTATCATTTCGTTCACTTGTCAACCATTTTATCGAACGGTTTCCCATGTTTTCGTCAATGATTTTTGCAAGATAGATGAAGTTGCCCGAAACGCTCACTAAATAATAAATCATTGGCATTTTGTGTAATGCAAACAAGTGACGAACATAAGTTCTTGTTCAGCTTTAGTAAATAGGTCATTACGGAGTGTACAAAATTACACGTCATTTGGGTCTTTTGATGATAGAAAAATACGTTCGAGGCATAAATTGGTAACGTTAAAGCTATATAAACAATTGATTTTATGTGTCAAAAGTGCAAAAAGGGTCCTCATTCAAATATATATGTATATTGATAAAAGATGAAAAAAAAAATATATATAAAATTATTCGATTAATTCAGTTGAACATATTTGACTTGATGAAGGAAGAGAAAATATCGAAATGCACTAAAAATGTGTGCGTGCGGAATGGAATGTGAATGTGATTTGATGTGCAACACACTCTGGATAATATTTAACGATGCACGTGTGCACGTACGCATAAAACGTGTATGCGTTTTACGTCATCGTGAAAATCTTCCGTCATTAAGCCATTTCGGTTTTTAGCTGGGTCATTGAAATCATTTAATGGATCATCGTCATCAGTGTTGTGAAAGTACCCATTGAAGTTTTCCTTCCATGTTTCATGTGAATTATTGTACTCTCGACGATTTTGATAAGGCACTGCCGATAGCAACATTTTATTTGTTGTATAGAAAACACAGTTCTCTTACTCCTTTATCTGGCAATCTCAATTTTTTGTGTTGTTTTGCCAAACGAAAATAAAACATTCGAAATCATAACCCAACAAACCGGAAACTGTACGAACCAACATCACTGCTAAATTCATTTAAATTCCGAAAATAAACTTTGAGCCCATTGAAAACCGACCCAAAACAAATGTAGAGAAAAAAAAATCATCCAAAAGAGGAGAATAAGAGGGATGAAAAAAAACTTTTCTTTTTTCATACATTCATTTATCAAGCCCGGTTTTATGCTGTTGCTGTACAATGGTCAAGGTCAGACCATACATTGAACATCCATTGTTACTGCTGTACATTGAATTCGTTGCTGGATTGGTTGCCTTGGAATACATACAAATGCAAATGCAGTTAATGATAGGCTTGGAAAAATAATTCAAATTTAAAAGCGTCTCACAAAAGTATTACTGTGTGAGCGATCAACTTTTACACGGTAACACTTTCTTGGCATGACTCTTTTTTTGTTGTGGTTCTTCTGAACTTTGTGCTTGTTCTATGCAAATAAATATGACATATTACTCAAGTTTGAACAGATTCGAATGTTGGGTTGTGTGATAAGATCCTGTATTTGGATCACAAAGAACACAAATCATCAAACACTTTTGCGAAATTCTCGAAAGAATACTCAGAAATAGAGCGAAAGAGATAAATAAACAATTTTAGTCAATGTAGAATAGCAAATGAATTGGACAAAAGTTTATTTGAATCATCAAAGCAAAGAAAATAAACAATTGCAGACTGAATTGAGCAACAGCAAAGGAAAACCGACGTGTAACGATGAATACGAAATAATCTGTCGTTAGCAATGAAAATTAATTACATCATCGTTAGATACTCAGATAATTGAATTAGGTGATTCAAAATGGCTATTCGATGCCATCACCTTGAACATTTATCGTATCGAGCAAAGCGGATCATTTTGTTCTTTAAATTAACGGCAATGACTTGTGCCATTTCAAGTGTGCCGAACACCCTGTGTGTAAGCTCATGGCCTCTTCGCTGGACATACATGTATGGCTTTCATATTTAGTTGTTGGATTTTGTTCAGAAAATGTTTAATACAAGCAGACATTGTATGCAAAAAGCACACATGTCAATATATCGCGCGCAGATAGAATACAGCTAGTCGCTGTATCTACGAAAAAACGTAGATACAGAATTCACTTCTCAAAACTCATTCGCATATACACGTGCCACATAGTTGTTTCGATGTGTATATGGTTGTATATAATATAAATATGGATGGGTAAAGCAGAGCAGTCATGGTGCACGCTTGTGTTGTCAGTTTTCTGGATAGAGTGAAAGACAGCAAGCTTGCTATGCTAGGCTTTCCAGCACGAATTTTCTGTGAGGGGGAAAATGCACAAACACACATACACACAATCAATGTATGAACGTCATTCCGTTATGAAAGCACACAACAACAACAACAACAACAGCAGCAGCAACAGCAACAGCAATAACAAGAGCCTATCCATCCAACAATGCCATCGAACATTTTGAGTTCTGTATCAAATAGCAGTTGCCCCTAAATCAGACAGGTTCTGCCGCTCGCAGCATGAACATTTGTTTTCTTCATCGCGGCACGTTGCTCGCGTAAAAAAAACTCAGTCAATTTCATTTTCAATCCAAATGGTACATGATTAGACGTAAGTAAACGTGCTATTTGATAGTTTGTGTCTAAGTTTTTATTGACTGTTTCTAAATAAATTTCAGACTCCGAAACGGAAATAAACAAACAAATGCTGTCGTTTCGATTAAAATCTCGAAATGGTTACCTCAACACATACAAGTGGATAAATTTAATTTAATATTCAAACTGAGTGATTCCACGTACGTTTAACGGATAACAATTTGAACTAACAACAAATGCGTCTATTCATTATTAATTCATTTCAATTGACTGATTCAATCTTCGGCCTTTTACTCATAAATTGCGGCAGAAAACCGAATTCCAATTATTTTTCTATTGATTATTTGCGATCAAAATAGAAAACAATAGTGCGTACAATTGCTTCTTTAACAGCAATAACATCAAAACAAGTGTTATTTAGACCGAGTAATATAAAAAAAATGACATCCAATGTGTAAACAAATTACAAACTAATTAATTAAAGTGTGTAAGTAACGGTTTGACGGTAACGAACACCGAATTTCGAATAAAATAAAACGAGAACCAAAAAATGACGCGCAAGAAAAAAAACTTACATCAATTAAACATTGAACCAACGATTAATAAATCAATTTCAATATTATGCCAACGAATAAACGTGGCTTAATGTATTCGTTCGTTCAGTATCGTTGTGAAAAAGCAAGAAGCTCATTTTGTGACGAATTTTTACATCAAATGATATCAAAATTCAAATAATTTATTTGAGGATAACACGATACACACACACACTGGATATACCGAACGAAACAAAAGACAATCGAAAAGTTTTTATCTCGATTGCCATACAACACATGCATATCAGATAACAAATTAGAAACGACCAATAAGAATATGAAAATTCGAAATACATAACAACAACAAAAATATAAGTGGAATAAAGGACAACGATCGAATAAAAAGTAAACCTATAGAAAATTGTAGCCAATTTGTATGTGGATTTCTGTCTGAGACCATAAATTGAAGAAGAAAAAAAATTCAGTCGAGACAGAGTTGATTGACATCACAATAAATCAACAATAAATCCAATTAGATGATATACATACAAAAAAAAAACTATCAATCCCTCAAAGTTAATAAGAAAAGAGAAACAAACACCTCAAAAATAGTTTAATAACATTGTTCGACTACGTGTAAAAGGTTGTTTTTACATTTATAATTTAGTATAAACGATTGATACGGAATAATTTTATTTGAATGAAATCGACCAAATACATCAAAAACTGACATCCGAATCATACACACATTCGAAACGGAAGAACTAATGGTGATTTTTCAAAAAAAAAAAAATGATTTTGAATGAAAAATAGTACATGGAAATAGAAGAAAGAGGCACCAATAGAGGAACCAATACAACAAACCACGGAGTAACAAAATTCGAACGTATTTAAATTGTGTACAGTGTTTGGTGTTTAATAAGAATCGAAAACCGTGGCGACTACTGACGTTCATAATTCATTACCGACTGAAGCAACAATTGACTTGGTAATGTGAGCCGTTTATTTTTCACTTGTTATCTCATCATTTGGCAGTTTCAGAGCAAAAGAGATTCGAATTTGTGCAGTGTTCTTCACTAGCACTGGTGATGGTTTAAAAAATGGGTACAAAAGAGACGAAAATCTTACAAAAGGCAACAAAAAAGAAAACAAGTATAAAATAAAGTATTCGAAAGCTCAAAGAATGTTTTTTCTTTGTTTGCTCATGAAAAATAGATGGGGCATGCCTTTCATGAGATTGAGCTATATAAAAGAGATTCCAACAGATAGAATAATGCGAAATCCAAGCGAATCCCAAATCTTCGCAAAATGAACATTACAATTCTCGATTTATCACTCTCATTTCAGCTCAATTTGAAAGAGACAAGCTTTCGTTTGTCCTGGGAAATTTATTGTTCGATATATCCTCTTGCATCTCAGTTGTTCGTTGTTCATTTGATATGTATCTTTGAGAAAAAGCACAAAAAAGAACGTTTACTACAATGTTATCTATGGATTCGTATTTGGTGCTTGATGTTTTTCCTTCTTCTTTTTTTTTGAAGCGAAAACAATTCATGATATTCATCTTGGGAAAATCTTATTTTGTGCAACAGGATATTATTTACCACAAGATCTCTTTTGCTCCGAGCTTCACAACTTTCAATGTAATCAAATTAAAAAAATGTACGACAACATCATACAAACCGCTTAGTTAAAAGATTAGTGAGTCATGCAAACTTGTTTTTTTTTAAATTATATATCAAATAGTATAGTGCATGTAGTTATTGGTTGACATCGTTGCATCGCAGCTGAACAGTTTTGCATGACGGCTGCTATTAAAACCATAAAAAGGACATGGTTTAGATAACGTTGTGATTTATAATGCAAACACCGAGTGCATGCCATCATGATAGACACCACTCACGTGGTCAGTTCCGTAAATTTGCCATCAAAGTAATCGAATGGATACGAAATTCATTGGCATTGGGAAGGAATGAGGTTTAAAAAATCATCATATTTTATTTCGCCTTTCTGTGTTTTTATTTATATTTTGAGTTTGTGTGTGTGTTTGTGTATTGATTTGATCGCTGGAGATTTGTAGTCACAATATATTAAGCATTATCACTCAATCGCACCCTCATGTTCGTCTCATCATTTTACGCTTTCTTTATTTTCGATGTTTGCATAGTTTCATTACACCCATCTGTTTTATGTCTGATCTTTAGGCAAATTTCCATCCTCATGTTGACACATGATATTTACTTATTTCAAATATCCTTTTTCAAGCATGATTTCCTGTTGCTTTACACATACCATCTGATTATATTTGATACGCTTCCGAAATATTTGCTACGAAAATACATATTCTCATGCATAATTTCTGCAGAATATCAAATAAAACAAAGTAATATTCAAATAATTGTTTAGTTCTTATTAAAGACGATAAGAGACACATCTAGAGATAGAGCATTTTTCATATGCTCACGAAGTGAATGTGTGAAAAATCATTTTCAATTAATTTATTGCTTGAAATTCATTTTTCGTATTTGTGTGTTCTGGGTAGCTCTGCTCTACATCTAACTGATAGATATACTTTACGATGAACATTATTTAAATCATGATAATATTTCCATCCTTTTTCAACGACCCAAAGCTTTAGTCTAAATGAATATTTTCTTCGCGGTTTCATGTAACGAAGTGAAGTTTTTTTTGTTCTATTAACATAATAAATTTTACATAAATGATGACGTGAGCGCATCTGGTAATGTGGTACGCATTGAGCTTGGCTACCATACTCATTTACTGATTTTTATACATAGGTATATATTTCTTCCTTTAATAAACGGAACCGTTTGAAAAGGGGCTCGTATTAAAATTGGGGTTTCAAATTGGATTGCGTTTTTCTTCTGATGGTGAACCAAAGAGAAAGAGAATATTTTTCATCCGTTAAAATGATATATAAATGACAATCAATATTTATAAGTGATGTGAGCATTCTATGTCTTTTGATTTTTTTTTCATCTGCTTTTTTGATGCTCTGTTAAAATGCCGTACCAATTTGACTGTGAAAACGGCCAAAAAAAAAAAGTTGATATTAAATCTTCTTAAGTGCCGACTCAATATTGTCGATAGAGTGGAGAAAAAAAAAGACGAGAAAAGCCGAATGGAGTATTTGATGTGTGACAAACAACACAATCGAGTTACTGCTGACTGCGTTAAGATAAAGAGAAAAGTCGTAGTAAGCGGTAATGGTTTTTGTTTACTTTCTTCGCTGGTGTCAAATCGAATCCATGAAAAGTAAAAGTCTAGAGTGCATTTTCAGTGTCATTTCTATACGAACGAATGAAAGCAACATCATATCAGGAGTAAAACACAACCAAATATTGATAATAACGATAAGAATGACAGCGTTTGTATGTGACAGATTCGTTACATTTATCCATCACTATTTCTTGCTATGACGAATAACGGAAGTTCACTGTCACTGTACACACTCAACAATTTATTTGTATAAAGCATATCACAATGTAACTTTGTTACACAAGAAGATATTTGAGAGGCAGCTCAAAGATTTTATCATGTATTTATGTAATTTCAACGTAAAGCTCCTTATTCTTATGATTTTTCGACAGTGCGATAGAATATTTGTCAAGAATTGCCAGATAAATTCATAAGTGCTTGTGGATGGGGGTGCTTGTTTTCAATTATTATCGTGCAAATGGAATAAAGTCAACTGTGTATTACAGTGTGAAAACGTAAGAATAACATTGTTCTGCCATTTTATGTAGAAAAATGTTATAAAAATTGTCAAGTATATAATCCAATAGATCAACATTTTATGAAATATTTAGTTGAAACAAATTATAATGAAACATTCAATATTTATTAAATTACTGTGTCGCATGTCACCACAATCAAACGCATCGACCAAACGAAACATTTATAGCATCGCTAGTCAGATAAATATTCATTATTTGCACGTTTTTCGCAGTTTGCGTATCGTATATATTAATGTTGTGTATGACTATGGCAAAATGTGGCAATATTGTGTTACCGAGTATTAAACAGTGCGTGTGCCAATGTGTATAATGGCATTAAAGCGGTACGAATTTTATTCTTAGAATGAAGAGATATTCAATTCGGTTGTGATGTTGACAATGTTCCAACACAACGGAACGACCAAAATGCCATTCAGCCAAATGTGTTCAAATTGTATCGATTCGAATGTCATTAGGTTTTAAATGGCTGAGATTTGAATAATATGTTTTTGAGCCGTTTTTATACAAAAATAAAACCCGTATAATTAGTTGATGGCATCAAAATAATGAATTCTCGAATTTGCTACAAAATAAAGTGATACACACTTTCACAATATTTTTTGTTACCAAATGTATAACCACAAAACTTTTTCCGTAACATTTGAACAATTCGTTATGTTTCTTTCTGCTAAATTATTTTCACATTCCGTATAATGATTTTTACGGTACTACCGAGTTTTCCAACAGCCACAGTAGCAACAAGAACAACAAAGAAGCAACAACGGTAGTTGGTGACTTTCACTTGTGAATTGACTGGATGTCAGTGCTTAACGCTGAACGGGTAACAACAGCATTCCATTGTACCGTAATAGTTTTGTTCGGTCTTGCGTTTCGGCTCTCGCACACACATGCACCTCGGTCAAGGTCATACATGAAAATGGAAATGTAGCAATGAATTACAACTTGAGTGCCGTTCATTTTGGTTCGGCGCTTTTACTTTCTGTGCATGTATTTGAATGTATATAGTGTATAGTCCTTCGTACATTACATATGTACCATATTGACATAGCCATGTTACAGTGGTAGTTCCGCTTTCATATATTTTAGCACAGAAAATACTCCCTTTGCGAACCAATGCAATATACAACATACAATTCCGTTTTGGCTGTGTGAATTTTGAATTGTAATCAACCATCGCCAGGTACAGGCGAAAACGTATTTTGTCGCACATAAAATGAAACAACCGTTTCGAAAATTAGCGTAAAAATAGAAATTTTTTTTACCCTTTTTTTGTTGTTGGTGGTGTGCTTTTTTTGTCATTCTTATACTGTCTTGTTTTTTCATCGTAACATTTTCCCTTTTTACTTCGTTAAAAACATAATAGCACTTGTACGTTTCACGGTATGATTAAAATTATCTTGTGACTCTGGCCCGACAAAAAAATGTTTCCGTTAAAAAAATGTTTGCGTTGAACTTCCGAGTTCTTCTTCGAGGCATTATCTTGTTGTCTTTTGAAAATTGGATCACTTCAAATCTATTGCATGTGTTTTCTTTACGGAAGTTTTATTGCATGTTTCGGCAAATGAAAAAGATATCCGAACATAATACAAGCGATATATGCAAATGTATGTAATAAACTTTACGAAATGTGCATGTACGTTTGCCGTTTCGATTAATATTGTCGTGTACTTGATGTGCGACTTGATTTTTAGGTCAATTTGATTATAGATCAGGAAGTGACAACACAGTCGGAAATTGAACTTTTGTATTTTCTATGGCGTGAAATGTTTAACATAAGTCTCAATCTATTTAAAGTATTGGATCTTAAATCAAATATGCAACGAAAATGTATATGTTTTATTCATTATTCAAATCTCATTTTTACTCCCCCATGTAATATTTTATTTGTGTCGAACACAAAGTTACTAAAGATAATCAATTTATGCGTGTGCTACGTTCGTCCGAGAAGTCATGTCCATAGTACAAATCACTGACAATGTTTTGTGATCTTATCAAAGTGTTCACGTATATTGACAATTCAATATTGATAAAAAAAAGCGAGCGAAAGATAAACGTTAAATATTAAGTAGGGAGCGTGTATAATGATGGTTCGGCAGCCAATCATTTCTCTTCAATTCCGTTCTCAAATCATCCGTTCATAACATGATTGCGGTCTAATCGCAGTATCGCAATGAAACGTTTATCTCACTCAGCTATTTGTTATTGCCAAGTTGAGTTGGTGTGATTCACACGCAACGAATACGTGGGTGGTCGTTTGTAATGCGAAAGTTATCATTATAACCATACAAAAGATCCCCATCGTTGAGCATCGATGTGCAATGTATCTCATGGAAGTGTATACATATAAACAAGTTTGCATCTTTTCCTCTGATTGAAGTGTTATCTTTAACTTTTTTATTTATTTATAAATTTCTTTTCTTTTCTCACGCTTTTTGTCAATCAGCGTTAAACGAGACTTTCCGTATATTTGACACAAACGGGATATTGCTCGAAAAATGTGAATGAATCACGGGAAATTGAACGTCTATTTCGATTTGGTGAGCAACGATAGTTTTTATCGCATTTGTATGCCCAAGCTCTCAACCAGATCAACTATGTGATTTATTGTGTTACACACACGTACAACATTATAGTGTCAGTGTAATAACTTTTTATTCGATATTTTATTTAGTTTTGTTGATTTTCCAACGGTCAGCCATTAGAATAGCGGAAAATCCCAAACATTGATACAATGGTGGAAAACTTACAATGAATTTCAATATATATAAAAAAAATGAACGGTGATAACCATCAAACGAAATCCAGTCCATATAAAAAATCGACGGCCATATCATTAAGTTTTCGTGCTGCAACGTAAATTGCCATTTTCAATGGATCCACTCTAATGATTCGATTCGGTATGGTCGATGCTATAAATGGACAAAACTGAATACAAAGACGTGTTTATAATGAAAGGGAACAAAAACATGAAAATACAGTTAGAAAGTGAAACGAGGTCCGAATATTATTGTGAAAGTCAATGTTAAATAAAAAAAAGAATCGAACACTTGTTTGCTTTTCATGAATAAATGAGACTTACGTGATCCCGAGCACAAGATTTTGGATCATCTGGTTTAACGGGCACACAAATTTGTGAAATGACATTGAAGACTCTGGATTGCAAACCGGGCATACCAAATTGAAACAGTTCCCCCATTACCAAGGCCTCTTTTCGGTTTCACGTTTTTTTTTTTTTTTGAGTATCAACAGCTTAGTAACTTTTGATTAAAAGCATTCCAGTCAAACAGATTAACCTTAGGCTTTCTACTACGTGCATTGATTGTCGTTTGATTCAAATGGACTGAGGAGAAAAGAAACACCAGAAATAAGCTCATACATTTGATTATCTGACATTAAAAATCAAAATCGTGAGATGAAAATATATCCATTGATGAATATCATAAAAACAAAGCAGATTATCTCCGATGAAAATATTATTGTCTCATCAATTTGTTTCATTTCAACCGCACAATGAGTCGCGATAACATTTTTTATTCAATTTTTTTTCACTACGCATGAAGTGGATTTTTGAGAGCTTTGACAATTACATTCCCGGTCAAGGCATATCGATTGGGTTGGAAAAAAAATGGTATGCATCTTTACCTTGGATTTAAAAAGCAAGCACAGTTTCGGCAGAGATGTTTTGAAATTCCTTTAAAATTGGCAAAAAAAATTACAAAAATAAACGATAAAAGCATTACAAATATATGTACTATATACTTACGATGAATACGTAAAACTTCATCTAAATTTGTTGATAGCAGAGGTTTAAATGTATTTTTTTCCAAAAACCGTAGCCATGTTTATGTTTGAAAAAAGCTTTTACACCTGCCAATTTTCACAAATTACCTCAGCAACAAACTCTCAGATACACACAAGACACAACGTTTACGGCATTTCAGATTAACACTAATTTGAAATCTTGAAATTCTAATTCTTGTTAAGCAATTGGTTGGAACAAATGAATCGAATTTCAAGTTGACAAGTCGGATTTGAATAAAATGCTTTTCCATGGAAATGCTATAACGACATATATTCAATATCAGAAGTAGAAAAAAACCCGCCTAGATTCCACGACGTCATGTGGCTCAACGAAAATGTTGAAGCACAAAAATTGCCACCAGCACAAATCTCAGATCGTGAATCGTGATTGGATTTTTTTTTATTAAAAAATATGCGACATTGAAATTTTATCAAATTTTATTCACAAAAAGTCCATATATGCGAGAAAAATCAATATTTTTCACTGAACATATCGAAATTCACAGAACTGGAATAATAAAATTGTCAAGCAAAAAGCCGTTATTCAAATATGTAGTGTGGAAAAAAATGAAATATATATCCAAAAAATATTCCACTAAAAATTCGTTTCTCTTTTTCATGACTTTTGTATTGATAACATTTAATCAATCAATTAGATCCGAAATGAAAGCAATTAAGGATTCTATTGTATTTACACAGATAGATTAAATTCACGCATTTTTATTGGATTAAATTGCCTTTTACCATACGTTTGGTGTTGATAGCACTCTGTTAGTTATAAATCTAAATGAATTTGCTGTATGAAATTAAGCGAACGAAGAAAAAAAAACATCAATATTTAGAATTGTCCACACACTGCGTCCGAATAGTTTTATGGGAATTCCCCAAAGTGGTGAAGTCTAACGCTTCTCTGCTTTAAGGCCAATGCTTCTAAAAATGGAAGAGTCTCAATGCACATATTGTTACTGTTGCTGTCAAGCGCGTTCATGATTTTATTGTTTCGTAACCGTCGCAACGCTGTCTCATTGATGCGCTTGTTGATTACTAGTGTGTATGCTATACGGCAGTTAATCGTTCGCTACTAATACCGAATTTAAAATTAAGTACGTCAAGCTTCTTTAGATCTGAAAATGAGACTCTATTTAGTAAATTGGAATGCGCACTCATTTAATTTGTGTATCATTCAACTGATTTATTTAGGATCTGAATGGACTAATGAAAATTGCGAATGCCTTCTCCATGGCCATTTCAATAAAGTTGATATTAATTCACCAACATCTGTATGTACTCTCTCCATTCGACTCTGTGTCCCTTTTTCCACAAAATATTCTGCAAACACTGTATTCGATTTTATATTTAAAAAAGAAGAAATGAAAAAAGTTCATGCACATAGCACGACGACCAAATAAAAGTTTATTAAAAACCAACACACACTTTATTCCAAATATTTGGTTTTGCCATTTTCTTGGATTTTCTTTAATTAATCGCAAAAAGTGAAATTGAGCACATATAATAAGCTCATTCGCACTTCCCGCACTTGGCATACAAATCACAAAATCAACACAACGAACAAGGTCAAATGGAACGAATGTTACGCGGAAAAGCCAACGATGCCGAAAGCATTCTACTCCAAAACAAAAATGTTTCTTGAGACATTGAACTGACGATAGAATATATATATATATAACGGCAAAGACTTTTCTTTCCTCATTGATTTTTCTTCTTTTTTTTTTGCATATGAAAGTCGTGTTCTCTCTGCGTGTGTTTTTTTCTTGTTTGGAAAAAATTACCGAAACGAAATGTGAATATGAATTGTTTGCATGTACGAAACCTGGTACTTCTGTGTTACATATGAAAAACACTTTTAACGCCAACTGCTGATGTTCGCACGCTCAACAAGATACTTCTCTTCATTCATTTAATGGCCGTGTTTTTTTTTTCTTGTTATTTATTATAACCATACACAATTTCAAATAAATGATTAAGATTCTGTACAAATACAGAGCAATACTTGGTTTATGAGTGGCAAAGAAAATGAGCGTTCATGTATACAATGCAATTGTTTGTGTGTTGGTTTCCATTGAACGAGATGAGAATAAAATTTTGAAACAAACATTTTTTTATGGCAGTCAAAGTGAAATGATTCATTTTGATAAATGTAATTCGACACTTGAAGTTATAGATGAGAGTGCCATCAATTTAATGAGAGAAACAACGAAGTTACCGCGTGGAAGCAATATAATGTCGGGAGAAATGACGACAGTGCTTGTGGTTTGTTTTAAGCAAAAAAAAAAAAAATCAGAATGAATGATATTTGCTTGTAATAAAAAGAAAGAAACAATCAACATATTTTACATTTACCTGCTATCGCAGACACTGATTTATTTCATAAATTTTTTACTAACTTTTCGTCTTGATTTTATTCAGTATGTTTGCATCCATTTGTACATAAACACCCTTTTATTGGCTTTCATTATATCTGTTGTGTACAACAACACCAAAGGAAAGAATCACTTTACTTGTCTAGCTCGTTCATCGATTACCGTTCAGCGCATTTATACGTTGATATGGATTAATCGGATTTGTAATCGTAGCTTTAGCATTATTGATATTAACTGTGTAACAATCAAATGGACAGATTTACATGGGGAAACCAAGTAAATGGAATGAAAGTTGAAAAATGGTTTACACAAAACAAAATATACATGCACATATACATAGTGTATAGGTTTAATAGCACACACCTACAATCATATTTGTGTACACACATATAAAAATAAATGTCACAAAGTCGCGCCAAAATGTTACGTATACAATTTATTCATGATATCACACGCTGTTCAGCTGTCTTGTAATCACATCATTTGATTTTGTTACGATCACATTCTACATATGAATTCGGTTTAATCAAACAATAAAACGAATTTTTTTATGTTCTTTATCTTTATACCAGACCGACGGCAATGGAAGACCTGACGAGGTACAGTTGGATGCTGAAATGGAAAAAGTATTTGCCGGACCGGGTAGTCGAGAGAATAGGCAAGACAAATTCAATGTGGCACAGCTCATCGGCGATAGCGAGACAGGAGAACGTGATGCCCGACTTAAGGATTATGACAGCGATTGTAAGTGGTTTTTCTTGTATTTCTCAATGTTTTTTTTTTTTGCCGAATCAGTGTGTTTTTTTTGTGACTGTTTTATTCAATGCGTTTCAAAGAATTTTGCTTGCAGTGTGTATGAGAAAAAAAAAACGAAGATGTAGATGAATTGAAGCAAAGAAAAAAGGGAAAAAAGTCTCACATTGACTGTCACCGTTGTCGCATTTTCATACATGCCATTCATCATAATCGAAAATAATTCAATAGAACCAGTCAAGAATGTGTCTAACAATCTGTCTCAAGACACATTCATTTTGTTCACGACCAACTTTGAATTTGGACTCTCTTTGATTAGTGACACCAAATGAATCTCAAATCACATTGACACAGATTAAAAATACCAGCCAAGCATTCCACATCGTTTTGTATCTGAAACCAACGAATCAAATCAAATCAATTTGTTTACATGTTCATAACCTTGCCAATAGCAACAATGTTTCATCCGTTTTTTTCTTCTCCTTCTTCCATTACAAAGAGTTTTCAATGTGTGAGACAAATGGCGTTTCCACGTTTTTCGCTTTTAAATTGTACTTGATATTTGCAAATTCATTGTCATTCAAACATTCTGCTTTCAGCTCATCGCAGTCAATCGGTTTCACATGCCGCACGTAAACCACTTCTTAGCTCAATGAAACGAAAAGACTCGAAGGAATCAACTTCTACGCCATCAGCATCGTTCGAAACACCAAGCCCAACGTCAACGGCAACAGGTACACCCATAACATCACCCCAAAGAGATCTATCGATTCGAGAGGAAAGCAATGAGGAAGCGATTGTGTCTGAACGAGCCGGTCACAGCGAACCACATTCCGATTCGGATGATACGGATGAACGACGCGTGCAATTCAACAAGGCAAAATTGAAAATTGAGGCAACCGGTGAAATTGAAGAAACGGAAATGGCTGAAGATGTTGACGAGGAAAAATCAGAGGAAAAAGATAAGAAAAAACTCAAAGGGTAAGTTATATAGCTGATGTACACATTTTTATTCATTTCAAACGATCTTGACACTAATTGGTTTCATAAGAAGCAAAAAAAAACAAATGTGAATCAATTCGAAATGAAACGAAACGGAAAAGAATATATTCTATATTTTGAATAAAATGATGACGAATCAAATTAAAAATGTTCGTGAAATACGAAATTGATGACAAGGTATGCGCAACGAGAAGCACTCACAACTTTTTACCATTCAATTCAGTTGACTATGCCTTTTGCTTATCATTCAGTTGGAACAGAGGGAGGTTGCCTGTTGATAATTGTGCATGTGGTTGCATTCTCATGCGATTTTCCGACAGAGATTTACCCTCGCACACAACAGTTGATAGTTGTAGTACATTCGCAAGCTGCTATCGATTTTCGTTGTAAAGTGCGTCATCAGTTACTACGTTCACCTATAAATGAAAGCTTTTTTGCTTGTATACACAGTATTCTCGTATACGCTCTCTCTCTCTCTCTCTGTACACCAGATCCACATGCTACAATAGATAAAACAACCCATCAATATCTGTGTGAATATTTTTCCACAACATCAAGGACTTCACAAATTGGCTAAATATTTCTCACTTCGTTCATATGCATTCGATTCGATTGTCTTTATTATTAATACCAAAGTGATATTCTTGAGCTTTCTCAATAATGCTTGAAAAGCGATTTTATTTCGACGATACAAGAATCAAGATTTACATTTGCATGGCACATCTCGAACTCATCGTTATGTCGCACACATCAAGGTCATTATACTCATTATACAGATAAAAGAAAACTCATCGGAATAAATATCAATACAAATTTGATATTTGGTTATTCTCTAGGTTATTCTATCTATGGTTTAGATTCCGTTTCATTTTGTTTCGTATTGTTTTATTATATTTTACTCTTTGCCAATTTCACATCCGTTCATACATCAGAGTTTTGGATACTTTTTGTTTATTATTGTAAATGGTTCCATAAATTTTGTTCGGAAGCATCAACTTTGTCAATTTACCCTTTCGAAGAACTCACCCTTACATTTTAACGCATAAGGCGCAAAGTAGAGTATGTTTTTTGAGAATTTGACTTGGATACGGTCGATAGATTTGTCTTTCATGGTCTATAGCTGGGGAATCTGTCCATCACCCGAGGAAAAAATTTATGAAAAAATGCCGTCACATTCTGAGGTAGGCTCAGATAATTTAAAGGAGGTTTATCCACACATCTTCCTTGTCTTCATTAAAAAGTGGAGTGCGTTTTTGGTCCAAAGTTTTCTGCTCCATTGATGAAACCCCACCTCTTTTTTTGCTCTCTTTTCAATATGAAACTTACAAAAATACAACCCAAAAATCTGCATTTAAAAAACATACTCTGCTCTTCGTCTTATCAACATACATCTATATCTAAATGATATTTTGTTTATGGTACATTAGGCGTCATCAACATTATAAGCGACGGAAGTCCTCAATTTCACGACCTCGTCCTCATAACCGATCAAATGAATCTGTCCGTCCCGAAGGTCGGATATCGGTACAGCCCGAAGACCATGTTCTTAAGGTAGGTCAACATTAATATACATGAATTATTTACAAGCTTTTCAAAGATAATTCCGGCGACGTGCACATAAAATTGCTATAAATAAATTTGAGTTGATAAAACAAATTATGGCATTTCACCTGGGTGAATCACTTTTCACAATCACATGCGACAATTTGCACATTGACTCTTTGCTTTGATGGAAAAACAAGGGGGGTTATAGCGACTATTGTTTGGCTAACAATAACTTGTCTCCATTTTTATTCAATCGAATTTTATATATTTATAGCAATTGTCATTTCTATTCTAAGCGCTCTTTTCAAAGCGTCTGACAATTTTCTCGTTATTATGAAAGTGAATTGTGTAATACACAATGTGTATTCATCTGGTACACTTAGATTAGTATACTTTTGAGTAACTCTCACTTACTTTTGATGAGTCACAATCATCCTTCTATTTAAAGACAATTTCATACATGTAATGGCAAAACCTTAAAAATGCCAAACAATTTTCATGAGAATGAATAAATGTATCAATCTATTTCGAGCTTTTTCAGAAACGATGACTTATAATATCTCTTTAAAAAAATTCCAAAGAAATAAGTTATTCCGAATTCGGTCGAACTTAATGGAATTGCTTGAATTGGAAAAGTTTTCGTAAAAACAACATAAACTTTTTCTCTCTTTTTTTTTAAATATTTTTTCTTCTATATGTATGCATATATATTTTATGTTTGCTTCATTATTTCAAACCAAAAAAATCTATATAAAATCAATGTCATATCCAATGAATAAAAAAAAAAAAACAAAATGCTTGAAAAGTTACAAGTCGATAGAAGAGCTTTGAAAGAAACATGCATCGAATTTAGTCAATCGATAGCGTTGTCAAATGATTAAAATAAATACTTGAGGATGGAAAATCAATTTTATGTTGAATTTTGCAGGAATCGCATATGGATGACTTAATGTCACATCGTTCCGATGATCCGCGAGCTCTACGTCGTCATCGAATTGCAGCAAGTGAAAAATTGCGTGCACAATCATTACTATCATCGCCATCACCGAAAAAGCAATTCGATCATAGTCCACACGAGGTATTTGTTCAACTTGACGAATTGCAGGGCATGGATGAATGGAAAGAGACAGCTCGATGGATTAAGTATGAAGAAGATGTTGAAGAGGGCTCAGATCGATGGGGTCGTCCGCACGTTGCGCCATTGTCATTTCATTCATTGCTCAATTTACGTTTGTTCCTCGACCAAGGAATCGTTTTGCTCGATTTGGAAGCGCGAGACTTTCCGTCTGTTGTATACAAAGTCCTTGAAACGGTAACACAAACTATTCAATTTGATTTAATATCGATCGAATGGAATTTACTTTTAATATAATTAAATGACTTTTATGTTTTTTCGTTTTTTATCAATTTTTCACCCAAATAGATGGAAAGCAAGGAACTAATTCATCACGATGATTTGCCGAAATTGTTGCGAGCACTTTTACTTCGACATCGACATGTTAATGAAAATACATCGGCATTTCCATTTGGTTCGCGACGAAAATTTAGTAGTTACACAAGCTTACAGGTAACTTGACCATTATTCCATGAATTTTGATTAAAACTTCATCAACATTCCATAACGCATATTCAGCACATAACCAATTGAATGAACGAATGTAGACAATATATAGATGCAAAAGAAAAAAACATATTATTTCAATGCGTGAATATTAGTGTATTATTTATTTGTTTCTCACGATGATACCGCCCCATACCAAAACGATAAAAAAATCCATCTATCGCAACCATTGAATTCCAATGCAAAAAGGATAATAGAATTACTATTCAAGAGTAGAACTATGGAAATAATAATTTAAACAAAAACAAAACTTATTTTAGAGTTTATCTCAGCAAACGGATCATCTGATTTTCTATTCGGTAATTTTGAGTATTTTGTTTTAATTGGTTTTGCAATTTTTTTTGCTTTATATTTTTACCTTATTATTTCATGCTTTTATTTATTTGCAAAAGCAGTATAGAAACTGTATCGTTTTTTTCTATCAAATTTTTATGTAATAGCACTAAAAACGGAAGCTTTTGATTTTTATTTTGACTAATTGTGTTGTAATGAATTTTTATTGTAATACTTTTTGAAGCAAAGACGGTAAAATTCAATTTATTACGTGTTCGACCGTATTTCGAAATGGATATTTGCGCTAAGCGTGTCTTATAATCTTCATTTATTTATATATTTTCGTCTGTGCAGCACATTGTTTTCAAATTACAGTTGATGTTGTTTAGTCTTTATATTTGTAATGTATTCATAGTCATATGACAGACACTTCATTTTCAAAATTAATTTGTTGCTGGTGTCACTGTAGCTTCAACAACATTTCAAGTTTAAAAGAGAAAACGAAACGATGTTTTAAAAATAAAAACACACGCACACACACACACACAAACACGCGCACTGTGCAACAAGAAACATTCAATTATGTTGAATGTGTATAATTTAACGTTAGTTTTATTTTTATTATGTTACGTAGATCATCATCACTTAGTGTAAATATTGTAGTAAGTCATCAATCATCATTTTTGATCCGTGATGTATATCATGCTCATTTACCATAATTAAATCGACCATTCTGCATTTATTTATTTCTATTTCTTATCAAATGAACGCTAAAAAAACCACAACCTGTTTTCCTCAACAACACATAAACGAATCCTGTGTGGTCTTGATCTGTCTGTTCCGTCTCCGCCGAATACAAATAAATAAACAAACAATAACTACACAGCATTTATGGGATGATGAAATGCGTAATTTAGCAAATGGCAGTTTAAATACGTGTGGTAGCAATAATTTCAATAATATTCACAACAACAATTGCAATGGAATCAACGGGCACGGTGATGAAGCTTGTATAAATAACAATCATAACAATCACCTGAATCAATGCAATGGATCTGATAAAATACCGTCCGAACTGTTTGCTATTTCATTTGGCGAACGAATGCGACGACATTCATCAATGTCTCATCGAATCGTAATGAAAATCCAATTTCAATTCACTCAAGAATTCAACATGAGAAGCTCGGAAATTGTGTTAACCGGCCACATAAATTCGATTTGATCCGTTCAAATTTTATTCAATTAATTTTCCAAGCTTCTCATCATTTTTGTTGAAATCAAATCGAAAATTGTTCTTTTCTTTTTCATTGAAATACCTCTTTTTGCTTTGAAAATAAATTCTGTTCAGTTTTAATTTTGTTAAACCTTTTTTCGTTTTGTGCAATATCGATGATTTTTATTGCAATCGTTAAATTAAATACGATTTATTATCGCGTACAAACATGCTATAAAAACGAATGTCAATTTTCATAAACAATTTGAACAACAACAAAAAAAGAAACTTTCTTTTGAGACGCCACAGGTATAGAAATACAATAATTTCAAAACGAAATATGCTCTCATCGAAAGTCGTTCGCAAGAGTTAATTCCACTGAAAGTTATTTTTAAAAAGCAATTCACTTCAAGTACCTATCCATCAAATCACTTCAAATTTATGCTAATTGCATAAAAAAACTTTTTCATTTTATATGACTTCCATCATATTTTGCAAATATCACATAAAACATGCGTATTTGATGAAAAAAAAAATCTAAACGAAAATCAAAACGATGTTGTTTAACCAACAATAAATCATTACCTTTAGTTGGAATTTTTTTTTCTACAATTTTATTACAAGAAAAATGGCCATTAAAAGTACATGAAGGTGTACACTGTACATATTTTATTAACCTTTGCAAATTTCTATATAAAAAAAAGAATGAGCATGTTCTGAGTGCTGTATGGATTTCAAATGAGTAGGTAGAAAGCAGCATTTCCATAAGTAATTTTCTACCGATTTTAACAGCGCAACGATCCCAGCATAAACATACTCAAAGTTCGACCAGACAGTAGCAAGAAAATGCAATTTATTATCATTGACTTGTCTTACTTGGTTGCATTTTCAGCTTTCATAGAAAATCATTTGAGTATATGGATTTTTCTCAACATTTGCATCGCCGCCGCCACAATGTAGTTCAGTTTATCTTTGGCTGAAATGTGCGTCGAGCGGCGGATGCGTCGTCAACACCATATGAAACTACATAAATTCAAATTATCATATTCATGAAAATAAAAGGAAATTGTTCATTTTCGTTTGTATGTGCACCATGTAAGAAATAGAGGGCCAGTGGCGGTAGCTTAAATCATTCCTTTAGCTTAGTTGTATGCACATAAAATGGATGAAACTAGGTTACATGCTCATAGGCTATTTACTTCCTTTATTTCCTGTCTTTGCTTGCAATTGTGTATACTCAAGCAAATCTAATAAATATACATAATATCGCAAAACTGCAAAATATTTTTCTGCACTGATTGCGGTTATTCCATCGAACCAAACAAACGACAACAAATAAAATATCGCCTGGGACATATACTTTTGCGCCATTATTATTATTTCTTGTTGTAAAGTTTATCAGAGCACGCGACTGTGCAAAACCGAATACGAATTGCATAAATATATTCGACGGTTGTCACTATGTTGCGTTTCACCGACCATAAACTGATTTAATATAGCAATCAATAACCTTTTGTGATAACACACGAGAAGACATTTGTATGGCAACTGTGTGGCTTTTCGTTTTTCTACCGTTTTGTTCTATATTTTCTTTCCCTTTTACATGATTTTGTTGTGTGTTGTTGTTTTTTTTTACACTTATTTTATTTATCTAAGGATACTGGTATATATTTGACGGTGGTTTAATACCGCAAAATATACTCGTATTACTTATCGGTTTGTTTTTGTTGTGTGTGTGTGCTTCATTTCGATTTGCTAGTCCCTTGTATAATTTGATTAAAAATTTAGCTTTATGATTTATCCTCATTTTATTTGGTGTAGTAAATATCTTCTTACTTTTGTAAATGATGATTAATGTAATGATGATACTAATGTTGTTTCTTTCGTATTGAATATGTAGAGTTTGTCAAACGATTCTAAGCCGAAAATTGTACCAGCTTCCGAAATCAATGGCCATGCTGGGAGTATTTCAACAGGAGATACCCGTATTGATATGCGTGAAGAAACGTATTCATCGTCTCAGGAGGATTTGAAACGATTGCAAAACGATTCGATTCTAAAGCGAATCCCACCGGGAGCTGAAGCCACTACAGTTTTGGTATGTTATCCCTTTTTATTTCGGAGCGAGTTCTTTTTCTTACATCAGACAACAGCCATTTTTTTTAATGAGTTTCATTGATTTTACGTTCATCAGGTTGGTTCAGTTGATTTTTTAGGTCAACCGACCGGTGCATTTGTTCGTTTGGGTGAAGCGATTCATATACCTGGAATAACGGAGATACCAATTCCGGTGCGTTTCATATTCATTTTAATGGGACCAAAATTGATTGACATTGATTATCATGAAGTTGGACGTTCGATTGCCACATTGATGTCAAACGATAGTTTTCATCGAATTGCTTATAAAGCAGACGATCGAAGAGAATTATTATCGGCGATAAATGCATTTTTGGATGATTCAATTGTGTTGCCGCCAGGAAATTGGCAAAATGAAGATTTGTTACCATTTGAAGAATTAAAAGCGAAAAGTGAATGGATTCGTTCACGCAAAGCGAAAGCATTGCAACTAAGAAATCGTGAAAAAAGCACCGCCACATTGGACGATGAGAAAAAATTGCTTGCGGCCCAGGAAGAATCGAGTGACGTGACAAAAGGTAGATCACGTAAAAAACGAGATCCACTTGAACGAACCAATCGACCATGGGGTGGATTAATAAACGATATAAAACGTCGATATCCAATGTTTAAGAGTGATATTACAGATGGTTTGAACAGTGAAACATTAGCTGCAACAATTTTTATGTATTTTGCTGCACTGTCAACTGCCATCACGTTCGGTGGTTTGTGCTCCGAAAAGACACAAAATTTGATTGGTATTCCGGAAACGTTGTTGGCCGCTTCTGTTGTTGGTATGATATTTCACACATTATCGGGTCAACCATTAACAATAATTGGCACAACCGGTCCATTGGTTTTATTCGATGAAGCACTCTACAAATTTTGCTCTTCAAATAAATTACCATTTCTAACGATACGTGTGTACATAAGCATTTGGATGAGTGTTATAGCCCTCATTATATCAGCATTCGAAGGAAGTGTTCATGTTCGAAAATTCACACGATTCACACAAGAAATATTCTCGGCACTCATTACATTGATCTACATTGTTGAATCGATGATGAAGGTACTCAGTGCATATGAAAGACATCCATTAATGGAGGAATACATCTACTCTTCTTGGATTTCAAATAATGCATCATTAACTGATTCAACTGCAAAAACCAATACAACTGATTTGATGATATCAACGCAAAATTTAAATGTTACATCTCATTTTAAAGGTTTAAATTCATATGAGAAAGGAGCAAAAGTGAATCAACCGAATACAGCATTGTTTTGTACATTCCTTACACTTGGAACATTTGCTCTTGCATATTTCTTGCGAATTTTCCGTAATTCACACTTCCTCGGTCGAACGGCACGTCGTGCACTCGGCGATTTTGGTGTTCCAATTGCAATAGCCGTATTTGTGCTGATTGATTACTTTTTACCATCGGTTTATACGGAAAAATTGCGTGTACCTGAAGGACTGGAACCGAGTGACACAACAAAACGTGCATGGCTTATACCAATGGAATTGGATACTATTCCTATATGGCTTCCGTTTTCATGCGGTATACCAGCATTATTAGTATACATATTAGTGTTTATGGAGACGCAAATATCGGAGTTGATTGTCGATAAGCCGGAACGAGGTCTTAAAAAAGGATCAGGCCTACATTTGGACGTTGTTTTACTTAGCTTTTTGAATATGGTGTGCGGTTTCTTTGGAATGCCATGGTAAGTTCGATTTCATAGAGTGACAGTTTGATTTACAAACCATTTCTAATGCCATGTCTATTCAATGATCATGTACAGGCATTGTGCAGCAACTGTTCGTTCCGTGACACACGTATCAGCCGTGACAATAATGTCAAAGTAAGTTGAAATAAAGTTTGTGCGCCCATTTGGACACAGATAGATCGATGTACTAGTCAAATGATTGATTTTACTTTTAATTCTTTTTACATTGAAAAACCACCAAAATATACATAAATGTATTTGTCATTGTCACAGAACTCACGCTCCCGGCGACAAACCACATATCACTGATGTTAAAGAGCAACGAGTATCCGGTTTATGTGTATCAATTATGGTTGGTTTATCAGTTACAGCCGCTCCCTTGCTTCGATTGGTTCCGATGTCGGTTTTGTTTGGTGTATTTTTGTACATGGGTATCGCCTCCATGTCAGGTGTTCAATTCTTTGAACGGTAATTCATTTCGACCACAAAATTAAATCTATTTTGTTTCACTATGATTCATAATTTGTTTTTGTTTTTCGTTGTTTTCGGTGATCTATAGTTTGGGATTAATCTTTATGCCAGTCAAATATCATCCACCCGAACCGTATGTTCGTCGTGTGCATACGTGGAAAATGCATTTGTTTACATTTGTGCAAATTGTTGCATTGGTGATACTGTGGTTGGTGAAATCGTCACAAGCATCTTTAGCGTTTCCATTTTTCTTATTAATGACGGTTCCGCTGCGACAGTATTTAGAACGTTTCTTCAAACCGCGTGAAGTGCATGCGGTAAATGTTTTTTTTTTTTGAATTTTGGTCCAATATGCCAATATTTAACTAACTAATAAATGTTTTTCGTTTAAATATCCATCTTCCATAGCTTGATGGTAGCAATCAGTCGATGGATCCATGTGACGAGCCCGACTTCTATGAGCAATCAGGGATTCCAGCATAGTTCATTGGACGATCGATCGAGGTACAGGATGTAAAAGAAATGAACCAGATTGTATTTTGCATTAAATGGTGCCAAAACGAGCGCAATATTCCCCTCCCCCCATTGACAGTGTGATAGCAACTTATGGAAGTATTCGAACAAACGAAATGAAAATAAACGGATGGACGAGAATGTTTTGCATTTGATAGGAAAATAATTTGCAATGAATATAAATACACCTGGTAACAATTCTTTTTTTGTATACCAATTGCTCATTTGTTTGATGTGCTAAAGAATGGACAATAGCCAAAGCATCTAATAATAATTATATTTTTCTTGGATGTTAGATAAATTGAAAATGATTTAGAATTAGTTTAGAAAAAAAAATGTTAACAATTGCCAAATAATCAAATTTAAATTAAATTAGAGAAAAATAAGAAACAAAGTTGACGATGCGCAATGAGAAGAAACCTCACTCTTAAAACTGTAGATAGATTGTGAAACTAAACCCATTACTATATTTTTTAAAAGAAATCATTTCAAATATTCTATTAGAACTAACAGAATAGCGGGTAGAGAAACTTAGAAAACACATTAAATTAGTATTATAACTAAAAAATAATGAACAGATATATAAATATTAATATATATTTTAATTACCAAAAAACCAAGTGTAAATGTTAGACTCAAAGCAGCAAATTCAATTTTCCGAACACATTTTTTCTCACAAAAGCAAATGAATATTTACATATTTTTGGAATAAAAATATTTTCACCCATTTCAATCAATCAAAAGAATGTATCAGGTGGCGTTGGCGAGGGAACAGTAAATAGTTAGACAAAAAACAACAACAACAAAATCGACTGATTTTACGATTGTCCGTCAATCGTTTAGTTTTTCGAAATATTTGAGTGTTGATAGGCAACTTTTCGAAAGAAATTCAATTTTTGGTGATGCTTACTATGTTTACTACATAAAAAAATAAACGTTTCCATTACACATTACTTTCGACAACAATGAATGTATCTAATTAACTGTAAGCAAATCTAAATATATATATATATATATTTTCAATAAACCACAAACGATCAATGATACTAATTTGGATTAAGTTAATTGCTAATTAACAACAATCGAAGAAACAAACTACCTAATTATAGATTATAACTACAAAGTTCTAAATGAAAATAAACTATGCAAAATCAAAAGGAAATATATACATATATATTTTAAAACGATGAAACGATCCATAAAGCAGAGAGCAAAAAAAGAAAACTTTTAAACTTCAATGGTACAAAATATGTTCGGACTCTGTTTTTTTTTTTTAATTAAAAAATGGACGTGCCGTGAATTTGCAATACAATTATCTTTCAGATTTGAATGGGTCAGAATAAAAATCCGACTTGTACGCAGAGTCTATAAAAGTGGAACACAGCGTTTTTTTTTACATAGAATTGTTGTTGTATTACAACAAATAAACTATG